TTCGGCAGGTGGGCGGAGCCGTCGGCTCATTGCGGGCGGACGCCGCTGTTCCGTCGCATTTTTGGGTTGCGAAACATGCACGTCCACCATCCTCATAGGGGGAGCTACTAGATCCAGAGAGGGCGTGAGAACAACAAATGAACGCGGGCGCTGCCTTCAATTTTTACTGCGTTATCGCTGCGACGACAGTAGGGCGAGACGCATGCGCTCGTTGTGAGCTTTTTTTTCACAGGATTACCTGGATGAGCGAGACCGTATCACCATTTGGTGACTACGAGTTGAAAGGAAAAAGAAGACCGACCTCCGTGAAGGAGCCTAACCTCGTGGCGGGCCTCTCATAAACTATTAGGTTGATTAAAAAGTTTTTGAAAGTTCCTAGAACTTTCGATACTTGATCGACCAATGATCTACCATGTGGGTGGTAGAACATTCTAGAACCTTCTCCGTAATGGTATATATAGGCGCGCTTCCTCCTTTAGCTTAAATCACGATGTCAATTCCACGAGACCATGTTCGATACATCATCTTCTACGAGTGGCGCCGCGACAGACGGCAACCGTTCGCAACATCAACAGCGTATGGGGGAGGAGACCACTTTCATCGCTACGGTCCATCGCTAGTTTGCTCTCTTCAAGGAAGGAGACAAGGACTTCGGAGACAACTCGGTCGTGACGGCCCCACGGATCGGAAGAATCCACTATTCTCGACGCCGTCAAAGAGGATCCGGAAGGTTAACACCCGCAGTCTTGCGACGAGACTTGGGTGTGCCCAATCAACAGTCGTCGGTCGCCTTCAGGCCCTCGGTTACAGAAAAGTGCTGAATGGATATGATATGTCTTGACCGATAGCATGCGGTACACCCGGGTATCCATTTGTCAGTCTCTCCTTCTCCGCCCACATCGCAAAGTTTCTGGAGGACCTAGTTACTGGAGATGAAAGCTGGATCCTCTACGACGCTAACAAGCACCGCGCCGTCTGGCTCCCGCGAGGAGAACAGCCGCCGACGCAAGCCAAATCCGACCTCCACCCAAGAAGTTTCTCCTTTGCTGCTTCTGGGATTCAAAAGGAATGCTGTACTACCGGCTCAAGCAAGGCCATACCGTCACCGCTCCTTATTGAGAGAAAAAGAAAAAGAAAGAAACGGCCTAGAAGAGAAAAACGGCCTAGACGAACTTTTGTGCACCTCCTCCATGACAACGCTAGGTGACACATAGGTAAAGAGCCGTGCAAAATTGGAGGAGCTAGGCTGGGACACGGTTCCACATCCACCCTATTCACCTGATATTGCCCCTCAGATTACCACTTGTTCCGGCCCCTCAAGGCTTTCCTAGCAAAAAAACGATTCGTCAACTATGACCACCTTGAACAAGTGGTCGGTGACTTCTTTGACTCCCAATCTCCCCAGTTCTGGGAGAAGGGAATCGCTGACCTGCCCGTTAGGTGGGACAATGTTATGACTAACGATGGTTATTATATTGTTGATTAGCTTGCATTGTTTGCTGAGTTGTAAAATAAAACAGGGAGAAATCTCGGCCCTATCAAAACTTTTCGAACAACCTAATACTTCGGAGCATTTATACTGCTATATGCTCTGCGATAGCGGGCCGCTGCGCCTCTATAAGGGAGGATTTCCACACCTCAGGCAATCGCGAACTGGTCCTTAGACTTACCTCTGAGGGATCACTAATTTTGGACGGTTTCAGAACGCTATAGTATGACGTGCGCCAAGTGGATATCTTGTCACAAGTTTTTTGATTCTAGGTGAAAATTAGCGATTTCGGCCTCTCGCGACTTGGAGTGCACTACAAACTGAAGACTGCAATGAAGCTACCTATAAAGTGGCTAGCACCAGAAACCATCACCACATTCACTTTCTCGCTAAAGACAGATGTGTTCAGTTTTGGAGTGTTGGTGTACGAAATCTTTGCAGACGGCGCCGAACCGTGGGATGGGCAAACTAATGCTGAAGTCAAAGTGGCGGTTTGTCATCGTGATAATTCGTATATTCAGAGCCACTGAACTGTTTGGTTTCAGGTAATTGAAGGCAAATGCGTGACCTTTCCTAAAAGTACGCCGGATCGGTTAAGGAAATACTTTGTCGAACGGGTATTTGCAAAAAATCCAGCAAACAGGGCTACGATGACGGAAGTGAGTATATCTTCTGGTCGTTTTGACACTGCACTCATGGCAGCTGCACACTGCACTCATGGCAATTGCAGGTTGTGAAATTGCTCCAATCGTGCGGTGCTTCCGCAGGTGCACCCACGTCTCAAATGTCCGAAGTGAAGGTCGCCTAGGAAGATCGGACCTGATTTCAAGAGCTATAGTCAGCACGTGTCGAAAACTCCTTCTTGACTTCACTTTTTTTCTACAGTCATAGCATGTTTTTTGATGCAATGTAATTCCGCCATCTGTCTTTTTCGAATCTCACCAACCGCGTTTCTGGATGTTTCGCTTACCACGACCGCCTATAACTTTTATGTGTTTCTATCGCACCATCAAGAGCTTTGATACATAAGTAACGGATTTCTGTCAATAATTCTTCCAAATAAACACTTTAAGCAGGGAATTTTTTTCGCACACGCAACAAACGAGGGAAAATGAACGATGCGTAACTTTCTGAAAACGACTGAAATGAAGAGAAAATTTACCGACTGTTTGAACATGATTCCCGATAGAAAGAAGGGCTAGCGCTTATTCTCTTCACAGGTGATTCCTCAAACAAGTCATCATCAATTCAGCAGGAGACAAAGTACGATCTTATTCGCTGCGGATGTTAGAGCATGTCAGGGGGCTGGATTCGGAGCGACGCTGCGTTTTCCAACAATTGTTGATGCAGGCAAGCAACAACAAATCGTGGAAAACGGACTAGCACCGAGCCAAATTCTTCGGAACACCATTCCTGACACGCTCCAGCATCCACTCGAACAAGACTGTAGCTTTTTTCCCCTTGAGCATGCACCATGCCAGGTAACTGGTCGTTCAGCACCTCACTCGCTTCACTATAAGGCTGCCCATAATATTCGAAACATTTCGCAGTTAGTGCCACATATATTCTCAAAAAATCTTGGAATTTCAAGACATAGTTTGTTATGCGCAGTTACATACCCTTGTCTGGAACCAGGTGCTCAGGTTATTTGCTAGCAGTCTTCAAGTATTTCTGGGATGCTCCCAAACCCTTATGCAATGAGTGCCAAGGAGTGCCTGAACAGTGAGCTGCACGACTCATCTAATGATAGGGTAGGTCACTTCCACTTGATCCATGGCACATGTCTGATAAAATTTAATCCAAGAAGGCTCTTTTTATACGGACATGAATCACACTATGACTGCCCTGTGACTACGGACCTCAGTTCTCTACGCGAAATATCCGGAACACTAGCCGCAGTTCAGCAGAGCACCGTGTGTGCAGCAGAATGGCAGCACAGAAATACACTGGTGTGCAAAACTTAGGGACGAAAGCAAGCTTTCGATCACTGTGCCTCTGCCAGACAACATAGCTCGATGAAATTCATATCATATCATCTTAACGATATTGTACAGAAAGCAACTGACAGAAACTCGGAATAAGACGAATTGTTATGACATTTTTATTCAACCATGTCGATTACACATAAGTCTTCACGATTTATCCTGGTACTACAAAAGAAGTTACACGGATCCTAATAGGGTGTGTGATCACCACGGACAGCAATACATGCTCTGCACCGCGATCCCATACTCTCCACGAGGTTGGTAATGAGTTCCTGGGGCAGGGCATTCCACTCCTCAATCAGTGCATTTGACAATTGCTGGATCGTCATTGGTGCATTTGGTCGTGCTGCAATGCGTCTACCCAGTGCATCCCACACGTGCTCGATGGGATTTAGGTCGGGGCCACTCCATTCGCCGGATATCCTCTCGTTCTAGAAGCTCCTCCACCTGTGCTGTTCGATGCGGTCGCGCATTGTCATCCATGAAAATGAAGTCAGGGCCGATTGCAGCTCTGAAAAGACGGACATGATGTAGGAGAACCTCGTCGCAGTAACGCTGACTGGTGAGGGTTCCATGCTCAAAAATCTGGAGGTCAGTACGGCCATGCAACATGATGCCTCCCCATACCATAACACCTCGACCACCAGTACGATCACGTTCGACAATGTTTCCGGGGGAGTTGCGTGTTCCCACCTCTCGCCATATGAGGGTGCGTCCAGAATCACTGCTCAGACTGAACCTGCTCTCATCCGAAAAGAGCACACGGCTCCATTCCTCATCGGTCCATTCGCCATGCTCCTGGCACCACCGTAAACGGTCTCGCCGATGCGCGGGGGTCAAAGGAACACAACGTAACGGTCGTCGGGCGAAGAGACCACCACCATGCAGTCGTCTTGCCACTGTAGTGCGTGAGATGGCTTGCCCTAGAGTCCTGTTAAACGTCGTTGCAATAGCCGAAGCCGACTGACGAGGATCTCTTCTTGCCTGCTGCACAATGTAGCGATCGTCCACTTGATTGCTCGTAGCGCCACGATTATAACGCATCGTCAACTCAGATGACAACTAAGGTGATGACCCTGTGCATTTATTCTGGTGACGCTCGACACGACATCTTGATACAACTCCTCAAAAAGTGAAGACTCTCAGATCGAGAGATATTCCGTTTTCACTGTATAGCACTGACCTTTCACGAACGGACTACCACCTAACAAATTTTCGAGCAACGCGGGTGGGGCATTCTGCACGCTGCTTCACTACTTCCGGTTTACAAGCCTCACTCTGTTGAAATCCGTGAACTCTTGTGAATTCAAAGCAAGCTCTTCTAGCTACCATGGTACTGCCACATCTTAAAATCTAAGGGGAAGGCTCTCTAGATGGGTCAACACATCGATGGGAAGTAGCACAAGTGCAAAATGCTTCCCCCCTGTCGTGGAACCGCCCCACTTAACATGACCTTAGACCTGATATGCTATCGTTGTTCGGCCAGAATTCTTTGGATTCCTGCAAGGGAGGCGTCGAGCGCATTACCCACTGGCAGTATTTTGCAGATAGTGACTGCGTCTATTGGGTAAAAACAAAAGAAAATTCAGATATTGACACTTGAAATCAACTAAGGTGTTCCTTAACTTGTGGAAAAACCTGAATTTTTTACGGTAACAAATCATTTAAATTTCCTCAAGAACTTACAGTTTACGGATCCCTTATACGAGCGATCGAGCGACCCTGAATAGAGCGATTCGAAGCATCGACCCAACAGAACAATCACATCTTGCTACGGAAGTGTCCATTCCATGTGCAAAGTGGGCAGGTTCACAGCTGTAGATGTGCGGCATACTGCCACTTGCATGTCTGCGCAAAAAAAAGATGAGGAATGGTGAGAGCTGCATCTTCTTTATACCTTAGCCCTCCACTTAATGTGACGTTGCGAGAGCTAGTTTCCTGCGCTGGTTTTCCTGCATGTTGTCAGCATTGCTGCCAACACATTAAATGCGGTAGGTCAAGCGAACGTGAAAGTAAGCTGCTGAAATCGAGTCTTAGCCGCATATGAGAGCGAACATACCAATAGGGAGTGTGGTGATGGACAGGTGTATAGATGGCCATGTGATGTGTCCCTGCGTGACTTGCTTGGGCTAGTTTTGTGCGTTCTAGGGAATTCAGCGCTTTAGCGAAAAAGTTTGGATACATAGCAGAAAAGTCAGATACATATCGATTCTTCAACTACAGCCAATTGTAGTGTAGTCAGCTAGCACCCACAAGGAAGTAGCTATTCTCCTGCTTCTGTGTCACTCCAGATTCATGAATAAATAAAGTTCATCTTTGAATATAACGAGAACGGAGGTCTCGCCCGCAAGAAGCTGGCAGGAACGGGCTGCAGGCTCCTGACCTGACATGCTATCGACTTCCTATGTAGTTTATATCAACCGTAACCAGTCGGATCGCAGCCAGCTGATATCCGCCTGCAGCGTTCCCACTACTGGCTGCTTTCTTTCTAAATCGGTCACTACTCAGTCAACATTGGTAGAGCAAAGTAGCTCATACCGTCTGTTTTCAACTTCTGTCTCCCCTCGAAAGTTGGCGTAAGTCATACAGAAGCACAGAAGCGCCGCGCCAGGCTGCGAGGCCGCACCGAAGAACCGCGTTGTACAGCTGCAGAAGAATAACAGACTCTCCCGACCGCGTGTAAATGGTCCTTTTCACAGATAATTGTACAGTGTGTTTTTAAATCAACGCTCGTCGTTGGCAATTCCGCAATGCGCTCTATCTCGCTTTTCTCTTTTACAAACCACTAAAACGCAACTGCAAGTAGCGGTAACGTTTACACTCACATGAGTGGGAGCCCACCATCCACCAAGCTGGTACACCATTTACAATACTCCCTTTGCAGATTAGAACTCCGAAGCGTCATCAATAGCAAGAAATAAGAGACTCTTTGAAGTAAAACATCCTGTTGTTGTGAATTAGCTACATTACGCAGACGCAACCAGAGATCCGTAGGCAAC